AGGCGCCGAGCCACCATCTCTAAATTAATTAATTAATTAAAATATATGGAGAGATTTAATGAGAGAAGAAAGCCATGTGATCATGAAAGCAGAGGTAAGTAGAATCAGAGAAGATGCCTCTGGCTTTGAAGATGGGAGATGGGACAAGGGGCCACAGCCAAAGAATGCAGGCAGCCTGGAGAAGAAGTAGACTCTCCAGGACTCCAGAAGGAACTAGAACTGCCAACACCTTGATTTTAGCCATGTAAGACTCATTTTAGACTTCTGGCCCCTAGAACTGTAAGATAAATTGTGGGTTTCTTTGAAGCCGCTAAGTGTGTGGTAATTTGTTACAGTAACTATAGGAAACAAGTACACCCAGATCCCATATCATGGTGATGTGTCTGCTCCTGGGCAGGGCCCTGTCAACCAGGAGACCTGGTAAGGCCTGTGCCTTCACACACAGTCATGGCCTCCCATACACCTGCAGCCAGGACTGCTGGGGCTCCACCTAACAGTTCAACAGTCTACTTCTGGGGTATGAGAGGGCCACTGTATGCACAGCACTTCCCGCTTCCTAGCGCCATAGGTGGTCTCTCATGGCCAGGCTCAGTTTTGATTTAAAAATATTTTATTCTTTAGAAAATACAGCATTCAACCATCCTGTCCTGCAGTGACCCCAGGCCTTTTGGCCAAAGGCTTCAGGGATGTGCTGGAACCCTAGTCTCAGTTCCCTTAGAGGCCAGGTTCACACCAGGACCCCCATCTAGCTCCTCTGAACCAGCCAGGCTGGGCTCCCAGACACCCTAGGTGCAGAGATGACAGGCAGAGACAGCAATATAGAAGGGTCACAAAACTCCAGGACTGTGGCCCTTAGAAGCTGCAAGTGTGTTCAGCCACCAGTCCTCCTACCCCACAGGAAGCACTTCCCTGGAACCCAGGCTGGAAAGGAGGGAGGTGGCCAGGAGTGGCAGTGTGGGCAGCCCCACAGTCCACACACTGGCCCAGCTTAGGCCCCGTCACCTAGCTGTCATCCCCATTCTCGCCCGGGCCACGGATGAGGCGCTTGTGGCCCCGTTTGCCCCCTGGGCCCTTGGGCTTGGCGAAGGCCTGCTTGAAGGCATGTTGCTTGGGGTGTACCTCGTCATAGAGGAACTCGGCTGTCAGCTCTGCCCCATCACCAATCTCGATCTGCATGAAGCAAGGCAGTGATCAGCCCAATGGTGGGGCCCCAACACACCCTTGGTAACCCCGACTCCTGAGGTACCCCTTGATCTCCCACATACTGGCTCTGGGTTCTCCCCTCAAATCCTAGCTGAATGCCACCCCGAGGAACAAAGCCCTGGACTCTGCTTGTCTGGGTCACCCTCTTCCTGCCCTGGAGTTGGGGAAGGAAAAAACACTGGTGGCCAGAGCTTGGGCTTGTCTGTGCTACCAATCAGCTGGGTAGCCTTGGGCAGAGCATGTTGTCCCTTGGGCCTCATGTTGTCCCTTGGGTCACGATCAACATAGGTGACAGGGCACTGGGGATGTGTGCCCACCTTCTTGGAGATCTCCAGCTGGAAATCCTGCTCCACGGAGTCGAGGAGGTGGCTCTTGCAGCTGGAGTACAGCATGCGCTCCTTGATGCTGCACTTGTACCCCGGCATCGAGTAGATGAACACTGGGGGTGGGGGGGCGGGCACAGGGAGGAGAGGTGGGCCTGGGCAGGCCTAGAAACCTGCTGACCTTTGCCCCCAGAATAGGCCCACCCAGCTATAGATCAGCCTGCCCTGCCCAGCCACAGGCTTGGGAGCCCCATGGTGGCCACTCACCCACAGACTCGAGGAGGTCACCTTCATGAGTGTGCCTGTAGAGGAAGAAGTGGTAGCGAGCAGTATCTCGGGGTACTCGTGAGGGTAGCTGGGCCACATCGGTGGGCTCTGTATGGACCAGGTCGATGGTCTCCCGCTCCAGGTCCAGCTTCTGCCAAGAGCAGAAGAAGGGCACTGGGTAGGGGAGGGCCCAGGTCCACTCTCCCCACAAGAACCCTCAACATACGACTGGCTGGCAGGCAGGAGCCATTTGTAACCTCCCTTTCCCAGGACTCTCCCCAACAGCCACCCCTCTATGGGGTCCCTCTGATGAGACCACTCCTAGGCTTAGTCCCCACCTGCCCCTTTCAAGGTTCTGCTGGAGAAGGAACTCCCACCAAGGGCAGTGGATGGGATGGCGTGGAGAGTCTCTGCCTCAGGGAGGTACCACTGTCAGAAAAGCCCATCCTAGCAAGGCCTCTGGGGGAGCCACTTGGAAGGCACAGCCATTCTGCTTGAAAGGGGGCAGCCTAAACCACTGGGACAGAAGGACCTGCCAGGAGAAGGGTGGTGAAGGGGGCAGCAAAGGCAGTTGGGACAGGAAGGGGCCCAGGGCTGAGGGAGCCTGTGTTTGAGCAGGCCGCAGGCCAGGGGGAACACGGTGGGCGCCACGTGTATGTATGGCAGGGCAGGAGACAGACACCCACCAGCTGGACATAGTTGATGACTTTCTGTCGGAGCTGATGGAGTGCCCGCTGGGCCCCGGGTTGCAGGGGGAAGGCGAGGCCCTGCAGCGTCTGCTGCTTGCTTTCCACGCTGAGTTCTGTCTTCACCTAGGGGTGGAGGATGGTGAGGGAGCATCGGCTCTCCCAACAGGGCCTAATGTGACCCTCAGGGCCTCTGTCAGGGACTTCCGCCCACCCTGCCCAGCACACCCACCTCATTGATACGGATCTGCTGAAGCTCTCTCTCAGCTGAGGTCAGCGGAGCAGGTGCTGCACAGGATGACACGTGCTTCTGATACCCAGAAAAGGAGAGGTCATCCTGGGAGGGCAGATGCAAAGGCACAAATGGGCACCTCAGTGTAGGCCAGAGAAGTCCACTGACCACCTCAGTCTGCAGCCCCTGCCTCTCACCCAGCCCTCTCCATCTTATCCCAACCTGGCACTGGCTTGCTCTGTAACCCTGCACAATCCACCACCCTCTGTGGACCCATAACCATAGCCCAAGGAGTCCTGGGTTGCGGGCTACCTTCACAGTCCCGAAGAGCTCATCCTTGATGTGGCCACCTCCAAACTCCTTTTTCACTGTGGCCCGTGTGGCCGCATACAGCATCTTTAGCCGCACCTGAAAGGGCAGAACCAAACTATGAGAGCCTTCTGGGCAGGGCTGCCTCTCCAGGAGCAGGCGGGAGCCTCCAGGGGACCATCTCCTCCCTGTGCCTGCAGACCCACAGAGAGTGCAGCACAGGGTGCAGGATGTGGTATGGCAGCACTCTCCTCATGGGCATCCCTTGTTCAGCCTAAGGTCTCAGACTCCGGGAGCTAACCTGATGCTATGAGATTGCTAGGAGTCCGGGCTCCAAGCTCAGGGCCCACTCCCCTGGTATCTCTTCCCTCAGACTCCCTGAGGCAGGCCTTTGCCCCCCCCCCAATAAGATTCCCTAGGGCTAGGCCTTCCCCAGTCCCCACTGCTCCTGATCTGGGGGTTAGGCAGGGTCCCTAAGACTCACAGGGGAATTATCAGGCGACCAAGCCAGGAAGAGCCACTCGAAACCCTGCGCATTCTGCGAGTCAAGGCGGTACAGCAGGTAGCAGGGCTGCTGGGCATCTAGCAGCGGCAGCACAGCCCTGTCGTAGTCCTGGTCCCAGCGGCCCACTGGCTCTTGCGAGGCACCCAGCACGAGCTGCTCTGGGGGCAAAGGCTGGGTAAGCTAGAAAGTAGGAATTTCCTGCCATTATCTCTGATGGTGGCCTCTGTCCTTGCTGTGGCTTTCTGAGCTAGCTTAGACCTGCTGGCCATCCCACCCTGCCTTCCCTGGAACCCCCCCAAGCCCCAAAAGGTGGCCTGTGTGCTTGAATCAGTGAGTGAAGGAGGGCACAAAGCTACAGGCAAGAGGCTGGTCCTTACACACGTCCCCAGCACACGCACAAGTACACAGATCACCAACACAAACAGCCACATGAAGATAAGCAGCCGTGTGCCACAGCCACTAATAGTGAAGCCCCTCTAGGACACCCACACACCTTCCCCAGGCCCCACCTTACCAGCCCAGCTACTTATAGTACAGTCCCCACAGTACCACCTCCTGCTCCTACCTCCCTCAGCCCAGGGCTCCAGCAGAACCACACCCTTCTCAGGACAAACATGCTAAGGGGGGCAGTGTCACAGCTCAGGCCACAGAGACTTGCAAAGCCAAAAAGCATCTGGGAAAGAGGGAGGCAGGAGCTCCTCCCAGAACCTGCACAAACAGGTACCCTGTGGCCACCCCCCCAGCTATAGCCCCTCCCCCCAAAATCATAAACCAAAAGCAGCCAGCTTCTTAATGCCTGGGCCCAACAGGCCTGCCTTAGCTGGTATAGAGTAGCTGAATAGGGCGTCAGGCTAGGCATACACTGGACCTACAGGCTACATCTGTAGGCTGGGACCTCAACTGGGCACCAAAACTGACCCAATGTACAGAGGCCTAGGCTGGAGGAAGAACTGGGTCAAAGGGGTAATAAGCCTGGCCAGGGGATCCTGGCACCTGGTCACCAGGCCTTTCCGATAGAGGTGGAGATTCAGCTGCCTGAGCCGCCCAGCATGCCAGATCCACCAGTCCAGCTGCCTCTCTGTGGGCCTTGGCCTCCTCACTTGCCCACCCAGAATTCAGATGAGATCAGGGTTGAAAACCAGCAGTCACAGGCTGAGCCGCCCCCACAGCACTGTCAACATCATTTAATTTGCTGTTAACATTTTCTTTCTTTCTTTTTTTTCCTTAAAAGCTAATTTATTTCCTCAAGGCAAATATCTTGGGCACATTTTAATTTTTTTATTTTTGCACTTTCTGGCCACAGATGGGTTTGAACTCACCACCCCCAGCATATGGGGCTGGCACCCTACCCTTTTGAGCTACAGGCACCGCCCCACTGTTAACATTTTCAAACTGGAAATTTTATATAAGAAGTACAATTCTTGGCTCAGTGTCTGTAGCACAGTGGTTATGGTGCCAGCTACATACACTGAGGGTGACAGGTTCGAACCTGACCACGGCCAACTAAATAACAATGCCATATGCAACCAGCATTGTGGCTGGTGCCTGTGGTCCCAGCTACTTGGGAGGCTGAGGCAAGAGAATCACTTGAGCCCAGGAGTTTGGGGCTGCTGTGAGCTGTGATGCCATGGAACTCTACCAAGGGTGACATGATGAGACTCTGTCTCAAAAAAAACAAACAAACAAAAAAAAACAGTAGTACAGTTCACAGCTTCTCTAGAAAAATCAGGATCTCTGGCCATAGTGGGGCCATACTTAGTTGGAGATGGACAGTAGCTGGCTATCGGGGGCTGGAACCTTGTGGCCACTCCTAGGCACCCCAATAACTATAATGCAGAACTAGGATAAGAACCTGGCTAGAGATTCCTCCTGCTTAAAATCTGTAGGCACAGTGTATCTGGGAGTCAAAGGAAGGGCTGAAGACTGGCAGCTGCCTCTATAAGTGGAGGGAGGCTGTGGCCTGTTGTTCCAGGAGGTAATCACTCATAATCTGCCACAGTGACCCCCTACCCAGCCTCTGAGGGCATCTGAATTGGGGGGCCTGGATGAAGCCCAGCATAGCTATGGCACTAAAACCTGGGATCTAGGCAGACCCTGCTTTGAGCCAACTCAAAATGTAAAAAGCCAGCTGAGCACCAAGCCCACTCAAGGAGCCACCTGAAGGTCTACTAAAGCATGGCTACCAAGAAGGGCTGAGGGACCTGTGTCCCAAAGCTTGTACCCCTCACACACAGGGACAGTCCCTTGGCATGGAGGGAAGTAGGGAGGAGTCTTCTACCCTGATCCTCCAACCCTGCCTCAGGCTAATCCTCTGGCTCCTCAGGCTCTCTATTCTTAGGCCTCTGCTCAAGCCCCTGTGCCCCCAGCACTGCCCCCAAACGAAGTCCTCAGTGTCCAGGCTAAGGCCCAGCCAAGCCTTGAATCCTCCCATCGTGCTCTCAGAATAAGCTAGACACAAATCCCTTCTCCTTATTACGGGGGCACTTCCCAAGGGAAGGGTTCAGGAACCTCCTTTGGTCTCCTCAGACCAGGCCCAGCAACCACAGGAAGTGGGTGGCACTGGTCATTCAGGCAGAGCAGGGACTCACTTACTTTTTCCTAACTAGGCCCAACTCAATATCCACGCAGCCACTAGGGAGGCTGGGCAGTACCCCAGGACAGGACTCTCTGTGACCCCAGCTCTGGTTTCCAGCTGTATAATAGGAATGACAGGGTGACACCGGTGGCTCAATGGGTAAGGTGCCGGCCCCATATACCAAGGGTGGCAGGTTCGAACCTGGCCCCAGCCAAACTGCCACAAAAAATAGCTGGGTGTTATGGCAGGCGCCGGTAGTCTCAACTACTCTGGAGGCTGAGACAAGAGAATCGCCTAAGCTCAAGAATTGGAAGTTGCTGTGAGCTGTGATACCATAGCACTCTACTGAGGGCAACAAAGTGAGACCCTATCTCAAAAAAAAAAAAAAAAAAAGGAATGATAATCATGCCTACCCCCAAATGCTCCCCTTTGGAGCTCCCCTTTGAGGCTCCTCTTTGGAGCGACTTTACTCCCATTCCCAGATGGGAAAATGGAGGTCCTGAGGTGGCTAGATGGCCAGGACCTACCTTTCCCCATGCCACAGGCAGCTGGGTCCAGCCCCAGCCTATGCCCTAGCCCATAGAGGGTACTCACCATCCTCAATGACAACTTTGATGAGCCGGATAGAGCCAGCCCGAGCCTTGGCAAAGAATTCCTTCAGCTCATCTGTGGCTATAAGAACAAGAAACATGGTGGGGAATAAGTAGGCAGTGTTTGCAGAGATAAGTTTTGGGATTTGCTTTGTCTTGCGGGGTCTGGTGGCCGAGCTGGGAACCGGGTTAAATACAGTCCCCCATGTGACTGGGAACCTGAGATGGCCACTACACACAAGCTCCCAAATTTAGCCAGCAGAGGTGGCAGGCTTGCTGGCTGAGAGAGATCTGGTGACAGGCGGGGTAGGTAGGGATGGGACAGTCTACCCGAAGACTGCGGTGGGGGGGGGACTCTGGGGCAACCCAGGCCAGCCACAGAGGGAATGGCCCCCACTTGTCTCTTACCCCCAAAAAGGCCCATACTGGGTTGGCATGGGACACTCTCAGCACTGTCATATCCACAGACAAAGGAACACAGAGAAATGCCCCACTGCACATGGAACATCATGTCCATTCACACACACACAAACACACAGTGTTCAATCCAGCACGTATGAATGTAACACACACTATGCATGTGTCACAGAGGAAAGAAGTAAGTACAAAACACCTTCATATGTGAGCACTCACTCAGATGGTCAAACATTATAGACACACACGTTTAGACATGCAAACACACACACAGTCCCCAGGTTGCTAACAAACACACAGGCAGAGAACTGCACAGCTTGGCTAAGACACGTGCAGGCAAGAGGATGTACAAAGTGTACACAGAAATACACAGACAGGCACATGTGCACATGCATGGTCATCTAGCCCCAGCCCACCAGCCAGGCAGCCTGACCCTGAAAGGCCCTGAGGAGCCACTGCTAGTATGACATAGCCCTGCCTGGGGACAACAAGCCCTCAACCCTCAAGTAGTAGGGAAGACTTCCTAGAGGAGGAATGGCTCCCAGGAACTCCCCAGAGACTCCATCCTGGTCCTTGGGCCGCAGAGCTGGAAGATGACAGCCAGTGACCATGGACCCAAGTATAGAGGCTAGGATCATCAGAGGCAGGGACCATGGGAAATCACAGACCAACCAGGTGGATCCACCTCTATACAGAAAAACCAAGGTCCAAATGAGAAAGGTCCCTGATTGGGTCTCTGGGTGAGCAAGGCTAGGCCAGCATGACCTTGAAGTTGCCCAGGGATCAGGAGAATTCCAGCAAGAACACAGCTGGAGGGCTGAGGTCAGAGAATATTTATAGGGCCAGGACTGGGCAGCCCAGGGGTGGGGGTGGGGGCCCTTTAGGAAAACAAACTCTGGTCATGTCCTCAGGTGCCCCCTTGCAGGGTGACCATGAACCTGAGACCTCAGGCTGTGTACCACTGTCCAAGCCTACTAAGTGGGCAGGGGCTCAACTGAGGGCTCAGAGAAACATGACATGGAATTGTAGGCAGGTGGATACAGTTCCACTGGGCCAGGACAGAACTTTCCATCAGCAGACCCCAAGCCTGGCCTCTAGGGCTCCACCTCTTCCTTAGCTGGGTGACCCTGACCTCTTTGAACTTCCACCTACAAAACAAGGATAACATCCCCAAACTCCACAGGGTTGTAGTACGGAATAAATGGAAGAAAATGCTTGGTAATGGGACTTCTATTAATAAGAGTTATTTCTTTTTACTGTAACAACACTGGGGTAGGATGTGCTAAGCTGCCCTTCTACCTGCTCAGACCTTCCAGGAGGGAAGCCAAGAAGTTCCCCCAAGGGAGAAGTGGACAGGCCCCTTCTGGTGTTACCAAGGCAAACTGACACCCCACCAGGGGAAGAGACATCCTCCCCCCATCCCTGATGCCTCCCCAGCTACCATCAATAATCCAGAGGCCAGACCTAGGACATCTGAGCCTCTGCCATCAAACATTCATGAACAAGCACCCCCACTGTGCCCACTCCCCCAACTCCAGTGAGGCTCAGGTTACAGGTCCCTCCCCTACTCTGCTCAGTCAGCAGATCCACACCTATGGTCAGGATAGGGCTGGCACTTGGTCTTCCTTGGTGATCTCTCCTGCCAATTCTCCAGGGCAGAAATGTGCAGGAGTGTGCTGCTCCCAGGTAGAAGGAGGGCTGAGGTCCACCCCAGTCCCCAGTAACCTCCTAGGTAGGCCTGTCTCACTGTATGAGAAATGAGGGAGTGAAGTAGGGCCTCATGAGGATGGGGGGAACAATTAACTACCTCTCCCCTCCCGCAGGCTTGGCAGCAGTAGTTATGACCACAAAAAAGGAAGGAAGGGGCAGGGCAGGCACAGCTCCTGCCTGTGGGGCTGTCATGAAGCCTGCCCCTCAGATCCTCCTGGAGAGAGGCTGGCCCTGGTGGGAGGCTGGCCCTGACCCAGGACCCTGCCTTCTCTGATCCTCAGGGGTGATGGATAGAAGCAGGGCTCTAGGGAAACCCTCCTAGGGCAGTCTAGCCACCAAGCAGCCACAACCACCTGACCGGATTGCTTGTGGTCAGGTAGGTAGTCAGGCTGGCCCCAGGCAGGAGATCCTGGTGAGGAGTGGCTGATGGCCAAACGTACCAGGCTGTCTGGGCAACCGTCCTGGGCCTTCCCCACAAGCTAGGCAGCTCTCCCAGATCAGAGATAGATAGGCATACTGAGGCCCTGGTAGGGTCAGAGCACCTGGCTCCAGACCATTCCTTCTCTCCTAGCCTGTCCAAGGAGGAAACTGGGACTCATGGGGGAGAGTATGTGTGATACTCTGGGCTGGTGAAACTTCGTAGGGCTGGGGGCTGGGATGGGAGCTGGCCTGGATTCTCTAGGGCCAGGACCCTTCCTTATAAACCCTGTATCTGTACCCTCTTCCCTGTCTCCAGCCTAGAGTTGGGACCTTCTGATCCAGACTGGGGCAGACTCAGGAGATCACAGGAGGGAGGTGAGAGGTCAAGGTCAGATTGGTGATTCTCCCCAACCCAACTAGAGAGCCCTGTTCCAGGTTTTCCTCAGCCTAGCCAGAGAGAGTTTGAGGATCCTGAGAAAAGGTCAAGACTCCCCCTCACCCACACAGACATATACCCAAGCCCATACAAGTCACACAGATACATCCCCCACATGCATCCATAGCAACAAATGCACACTGAGATGTGCCCCAATTATGCACACACACAAACACCCACAGACATGTTCCCATTGCCATGAAACACTGAAGTCTAAAGATGGTCCTATGCAACCTACCCAGTGTCCAAACACCACTAGTGCATGTGCATGAATGACCCTAGATGTGCACAACCAAGTTATAGCCAGATGTGCGCACACAGGACTGTACACAGAAGACGTGTGCACCCGCGTATACACTCCCCCAGATGTGCACATCTGAGGACGCCCGCCCCCGAAAGGAACAAAAATACACAGATGAGCACAGAGACATACCCACCCTCAGGTAGGCACGTATATACTTCCACTCAAGCTGTGTAAGTACACATACACCCACTCTCAGCTACGCGCAGCAAGTCCATACTCCCCCAGATATGCCCAACCCAGGCGACCCGCTACTGCAAAAGAGAACAGGAAGCTTCCCCCGGCTGATGCGGGGAGGAGGGAGGGGCCGACAGACAGGGAGAGGGTGCAGCTGAAAGCCGAGACCCTGGGTCCTATGCTCGCCAACCGTCGCCCTCACCATGGATGCCCGTCTGATGTGCCATGGCTCTGCGTTCCGCTCCGCCCGCTCCGTTGGTACCCTCCACCTGGTCCTGGCTCCGCTCCGCTTGCCTGGACCAAGAGGAGGAGGATGTGTCGGCTCCTGCCGAGCCTCGCGCAGCTTCCCGGGCGGTGCCGCAAGACCCGCCCCCAGCGGCGCCCCGCCCCCAACAGGCGAGGCCGGAGGGGACAGAGACTCGGGTCCGCGCGTGCGCGCTTTGCGCGCCTTGGTCCGGATGGATCTGATCAGTATGTGCACACACCTCTTTGTCTTTCTGTGGCTGAGTTAGGGGCCTGCTGGTGGCCGAACGTGCGTAGGCATACTCGCCCGTATGTGTGCGCCCTGATCCTGGTGGTCAGTGGGTGGGGTGCATCTGTGTGATGACAGTTTGTGGGCCTCAGGCCATATATGGGTTTGCTGGTGGGACGGATCCATGGGTATTCAGGTTTGTGACCCGGAAGGGGGTCTGACTGGGTGTGGATGGGCGCACGCATGTGCAGTATACGCCATACAGTCTCCAGGGGACGTTTCCTGAGCTCCTCCCGAGGGGCACTGGCACTGGCAGCTCGGGGTGGTCATAGCCGCCAGGCTTTGCCCTCCTGGTAGGAGCCCAGACCCACCTCTAGCAGGCAGCCAGTAGATGAACAGTCTGTGGTGCCCAGGGCCCTATGCAGAAAATGTGATGGGCTTCCAGGAGGAGGAGAAACTTGGGTGGAAGCCTAAAGGGAGAACAGAGCCACGCAGCTAAGTGGAGGGAAAGTTTTCTGAGAAGAGGGAACTGCATAGGCAAAGGCCCAGAGGTTGAAAGAGGCCAGAGCTGGGTGAATCTGACGAACTTCGCAACTCCTAATGAACTCTTGTCTCTATATCCAATAGCCATGCTCTCCTGGCTTCAAAGCCAGCCTGCTGCTATCTGCCAATCAATATATTGTATCTTCTACACCACAGTGTTTGAGTCAGGGATGAGTATATGACCCCAGTTGGCTCAATCAGAGCCTGTCCAGGGACTATGGCTGGGAAGATTGGCAAGGAGGCCACCGTTTGGGGCTAGGCTTGCTGAGACATGATGAATGAATTGTGTGGCAAACAACAATGATGGCTGCAACCAAAAAAAAATAGCCGGGCGTTGTGGCGGGCGCCTGTGGTCCCAGCTACTTGGGAGGCTGAGGCAGGAGACTCGCTTGAGCCCAGGA